GTGGCAAGGTTTCTATGAGGTTCTCAAGAAATCCGCGCCCTTGCATGGCACTTGGCTCACCAAAACACTCCAGGACTCGAATAAATACCAGGCTGGCGCATTCTTGAAAGTGCTGCAGGAGTGTCAGGGGTCCGCTGACAGACTCACAGAGTTGGGCATCCTCGAAGGAGGCCGCCTAACCACAAGGAACCCTCTCAGAGGACAGAGGAAAGGGTGATTAAACCCTGAACCTGTCCTTGAGACCAGAATCCATAGTTTGCAGGAGCACCCGAAGCTCTTTTCGATTTCACATATTAGTCTGCACAGCAGTTACCGATCCTATATATTATATCTGTTCAACCCAGAAAAGAAGCTACAATGGAGACTGTAGGTAAGTCACAGACCCTGCTTTGAGGCTCGTGGGTAGTTATAAGTGGGGTGAAAAGCCCTGTGTATGAATGAACTCTATGACTCTATTTGCACCCCTTTAGTTATCTACTTATAACTACCCGTGAGCCTCCAAGTAAGCCCTTAGCCATACTACTAAATCTACATCCCTAAACCCTAAACCCTTCCAACCCTTAAACCCCTAAACACTAAGCCGCAAACTCCAAACCCCCAAACCCGAAACCCTTATAGATCCCTTATAGGAACCCTACCCCAAGCCCCGCACCCTAATGTAGGAACCTGATTAAGAAACCCTGGCCCTATAACCCGCAAAATAGTAAGATTCATAGAAAGAACCCCAATACAGGCCCAAGGGTTCTTAATCAGGTTCTTACATTACCCTTATTCCCAAACGCTGACTCCCCCAATAAACCACAGTACAAACATAGTTGTAACCCATACAAAGGGGGCTTATAGCCCGACTTATATTGCGCTGCTACTTCTGATGTGCATGCACATAAAAAAGTAGCAGCACAATGTGAAGGATAACCCCACTTGTAACTACCCATAGGCCCCAAAGTAGTTCCTTTTTGGGATTACCTAATAGGATTCTATACATGAACCCCAAAAAGGAACTACTTTGGGGCCTCTGGGTACCCACCAGGTTGCCACGCTGCTTGTGCAAGCCGTGTCCACGGCGATCTTCGGAGTCCAGGCTATGGGGTTCCCTAGAAGGGATCGTACGGTTCTTAGGTTTCCTGTAAGGGATGTATAGAGGCTCCTTTAAAGGGATCTACAGATATTGAGGGTTTAGGAGTTTAGGCCCGGAGTTGGGGGTTCAGTGTTTCGGGTTCATGGGTTGTGGAGGCGCTGGGGCGTTTCGCATCAGGCCTCCTGACTCAGAGTGCCATACTCTTCGACGATTCGGGGTTTCTGCTGCCTTACCCCGGCTGCACATAAGGTTTTACCAGCGCAGGGTACCTTACAATTCACGATGTGCTCGGTTCTATAGTATCCGTAGGATTTGTTTTTTTGTGTTCATATCAAATCCAAGAGAACATTCAAACTGTTTTATTTGGTTATAATGGGTCTAAGAGGGGGTACAGTGTTTTGGCAGGTCCACTGTATTTTGGGAACCTTGACCATGCCCGACAAAGTACAGGCAGCTGGCTCCAAGATGCTGCGAGCCCCCAATACTCACAAATAGTAACAGTCGCAATAAGACTATCAACAGAAGCCATGATCACAGTACAATGGGAAAAGCATCAGTAGTCATACTCATCATACCAGCCATAATGTTCGTGGTTATAGTAACAGCAATGATAGCCAAGCTCGAGATTTTACTTGATTTGTAGTGCATCTGCTCGTTGCTATTCATAAGCACGTGCATCCATTTAGTTATTCATGCACTAGTTCATTTATTTATCTGGGCTGTGGGGTACCATAATTTAGTATTTTTTCTTAAAGGAACCATTCTGACATGAATGTTTACATTTTCTCCCTGGTTACTTGAAAGCCCAATTATTTATTCTGCCATGGTGTGCCGCTGAAGCCGTAAAACAAGAAACCTTCAGGCTAAACCCTAAACCCTCAAAGCCCCAAGTCGGAGCCATCTGCCCTTTTCGGCTGCCGCGAAGGTCACTGCCCTCAGTGCCGATCTTACGTCGAGTGCACTTCTGTATACTGCTGTAGATCCAGGATGCTGACGTGTCGATGGGGTCTAAGTGTCTACATAGCTTAACTGTTGGTAAAGCGCTTGAATGTAGTGCCTCTAATATCTATAGTCTTGATTCGACGCCGAAACCCTATCCTAAGTATTACAGCAGGTCGGCATTATGACATGGCATCATGTGCCGGTATGCTGCAGTCGGCTGGTCGATGCACTCTCTTTGCATTCATCTCCTGTCCTGCACTGTGTTGCAGAATTGCGTGCTGAACTGCCTGCAGGGTTTTAACAATAGGTATATATACAAAGTATTGACGCCAAGGCAGCTTCATGACGGACGATCTCAATCAGGGACACATTGAGTCACTCCGGCTGCAAGTAACCCAAATGTCCTATGTACGGTTATGGGGAATACCTCCCGGTTATGGGGAATACCTCCCTAAGTTATAATACGTAGTAATTCCTAATATGGAAGCCCTACATTCTACTATATCGGTACATGACCCTCTGAATAATTTTTTAAGCCAACAAACAGCCAACCGCGCGAAGGAACAGCCTCCGCCATGATCTAAGCGTTCACAGCAAACATGTTTTGAATGCATTGTCTACAATCCATGCTTCGAGGGTCTTCATCAGGCTCCGACAGTGCTAGATTGGGTGGTTGGCTGAAGTAGTTTACTACGATAGCATTGACACATTGCAGTCATGATGTCGCGCGGGAGCATGTGCAATTCATGAATGTGCTTCCTGGTTGTGTCGACCAGTGAACTGTTTGCCGGTGGTACACTCTCGCATGTTTTTGTGAGCTTTATATGAAAAATTGTACCATATGTACACAGGGTGTGCCGAACGTAGCTTGAAGCATGGTGTATGTGTGGGTGTGTGTCTGTGTGTGTGTGTGTGTGTTTGTGTGTGCGTGTGTGTGTTTTAATTCTTGTAGAAGCTTAACAGCTTGGGTCCGTTTGTCGTATATACCTTCTGAACGCCGCTCCGCTGCACTCCAAAATCACCGCACCATGTTTTTAGCGATCTTCCTGGTATGCTGTATGGGCCCGGCTTTATGTGCACAGGGATCTGAGCACAGAGTCCAACAGGGGTAGTTGGAGGATCATGGGACTTAGCAAGTAGGGTTATAAGTACCTTAATTGGGGTTATATGTAATAATAACTGTAGTTACTGTACTTATAACCCTACTTACTAAGTCCCATGATCCTCCTTCTAGAACCCTTATAGATCCCTTTAAGGAACCCTATAGGTTCCCTTAACAGGAGCCCTAAAACCCTACTTACTAAGTCCCATGATCCTTTAAGTAGACCCTAAACCCTAAACCCTCTCGATCCCTTTAAAGAACCCTATAGATCCTTTAAAGGAGCCCTTTAAGGAACCGTTACCAAGTCCGTATAGATCCTTCAAGTAAGTAACATGCGGCTCCCGTATCCGCTCCGCGAAGGCCTCTCTAGGGGCACCTTTAAAGGAATCCATGGCCATAAGGGTTCCTTAAAGGGATCTATAAGGGTTCTCTCAAGGGTTTAGGGTTTGGAGTTTCCGAAAATGAGGGGCACCTTATTTGGTTGTCGCAGCCAGAATACTTCCGCAAGGACCCGGGATCTTGTTCCTGCACATAGGTAGTCGTCAAAATTAAGGTCCCTTTTGGGGTACCCTAATGCCGTACTATAATAGGGACCCAAAAAGGGACCATAATTTTGACAACCGCCCACATAAATGAATCTACAAAGCTGAACCGTAGCGCCTGAACTCCAAGGTACGGCTATTACATCAGCATCGCAGTTGCCATCGTCTTCTACGTGGCTTTTGTTCGCTCCATGCGGATCTTCCGGCCACACACTGCCTAAAGAAGATTGCTGGCTTCGACTGACCCAGAGCCAGGTGTTCGGTAGGAATTCTGTATAGTCTGTATAATCTTGTTGGAATGTTTATGTTGCAGCTAGGAATTATGTATAGTATTTCTTGAATCTTCATTGTTATAGAACAAAGCCATGGGTTGAGAACATCAGTTACTTCTAATTTGGTCCTCAGGTGGTTGCAGAGTACGCAAGGGTGCAGCATGTCTCACCGACCGTGCTTTGCGATAGTTTATTGCTGTATGTAAGGCGTTCCTTGCCGGCAAGCTGCATCGATGTTCCTTACTCCCCAAACTTCTTAACCCCTAAAACCCAACACCCCCAACCCCTAAACCCTAAACCCCTAAACCCTCAACCCCTGAATCCCTAAACCCAAAATCCCTGATCAGTAAACACCTAAGCCCCTAAACCCTAAACCCCTGAATCCCCAAATTCCAAATCCCCGATCCCAAAACACCTACACCTGAAAACGCCCAAACTCAAAGCAGGTCTTGCTGTGACAAAGCAGAGAGATTGGTTCTCCCAAAGTCCTAGGTACTGCTATGGGCAATACTTCCCCAAATCATAATGGTAATTCCTGGTACAGAAATACTTAGGACGCTTTGGATATTTCAGAGGCTGAGGAGGGTATCAGTCCGAACAACCTTAACCTCAGCTGCTGTATAGGTACTTAGGACCCCGTGATTCTTGTTCTATAGTCTCCTTAGGAAGCTGTATAGGTACTTAGGAGCCTTTGATTCGTTTTCTATAGTATCCTCAGGATGTTTTTTTATGTTATTTTCGTTCATATAAAACCCAAGAGAATATTCAACACAATATGTTCATTATGGTTCTGAGGGTGGGTATCGTTTTCTCAGAAGCCACAGCGCATCTTCTACCGGCTGTTGCCGTTACTTCGCGGGGGCCGTGGAAGTAGCGGAGGCAAGGCCGAGTTTATAGTCGGTTTAGGGTTTGGAGTTTAGGGTGCAGGGGGGTTTAGGGTTTAGTAACAAACTCTAAGGGGTCTACACAAGCACTGCCATCCCGGGCCTCGTCGCTCCGAGACTTTCGCTTGACGATCCAGAATGCCTTCGGTGATGTTCGCCTGCCGGAGAAGGGTTGTGAACCTAGGGTGGAGCTTTCTCTGAAACAACAGCGGAGTACAGGATTGAACGATCACTGGAAGCAAAAGACTTGTGACTGCATACGTTAACTTTGTGCTCCACACTGGTTCTCTTCTCTCCGAAGAAAACATTGGCTTGGCAGACCTCTGACAAGCTGATGGGCACCGCCAGTTTGGCGGCCTGTGCGTCCCACCATACTCCGGGGTCCCCCGGCTTTGTCAAAACGTCCCCGTGTTGGAGGTGACTGGGGACCCATCCTAGCGGCAGCTTGCTTGCCCACCGTTCCTTCTTGAGACTTTGTCTCAAAGCCGCCAAGTCTATGGCGAGCCGTCGGTCTGTGGGCACCCTCGGGATGCCCTGTTTGTGGATATGGTCAAACAGGGACCGGCAATCGCTCAGGCATAAAAGACGAGCTTGGGCTGTCTCGACCATCACGAGCTCTCCGGTCATCAAGGTCTCGATGAAGGATCGCATATACTGGGCCCCTTCAACTCCCTCGACGCAAGCCTGCGTCTCGGCTCCGAAGGTGGACCGGCAAACTCTTTGACCAGCCCGTGAACGCCAATCTCCAATGGAGAAGTTGCCGACTCCCCCTTTGACGCACTGCATATCTGCGAACAAAACCAGAGCACCGATCTGCGAAGCCACCTTAGAGTTCTGTCGCTTCGCCTTCCTTTCGCGCTTGGTGCCGAACGGACCCTCTGTCATCAAGCCGGTCGCCTTGTCCTCTTCGCTCAAGCGGAAGTGCTCGTCCTCGGCCTCATCGTCGAGGGCGTTGGCCCATGCCGCATCGTGGTAGACGATCACCCCAAAGTCCTCCGGCAACGGTCGGAAGCGTAGGCCTTGCTCCTTGTAGGCAGTAGCACGACTGGAGATCTGGTTGGTGAACTTCAAATCAGCTATCGTCGGCTGTCGTTGGAGTTGTTGCGCCAAACTCACTGAGCAGGTGAGGTCGGGGCGCGTCTGGGAAGACAGCCACGACAGCGCCCCTATCAAGGATTGGTTGTCCGCAATCAGCTCCGGGCCCGCCAGGTCCTCATCGTCGACTCCCCTGGGGATGTCCAGGGTGAACAGTCTCGTAGCAGCGTACTTTCTCTGAGTGACCAGGACCTCTTCTTCTCCACATAGGATTTCCGTGCCGACGTAGTCGAGGTGTCCTTCTTCCCACTTGTCCACCGGGAAGGCTTCCGACAGGCCTGCCTGGATGAGCTTGTTCACCTTCTTGCCAGCGATGACCAGAAGGTCGTCGACGTGCGTCCCGACATACCCTATGGGCTTCCCGGTGTGCTTCTCGCCTTCCAATTTGCGCAACGCAAATATACAAGGATCAAGCGGGCACGGCTCAAAGGAGTAGACGGCGCCTTCGTAGTCGATCCTGACCTTCAGCATTCCGGCCTGCAGGTCCATCCACCACTCATGCGGTGACGTAGCCAGTCCGAAGATATTCTTCTTGATGCGGATCAACTGATCCGGCAGGAGACCTGGGAACCCAGTCGCCGGCTGGTGTAGGTAAAGGTCCTCGCCTCTAGTCAAGTAGCCGCCCGTGAGGAAGGCACACTGGATGTCCCCGGCGGCGGCGGTCCAAGGGTCCTCATTCTTTAAGCCATTGGCTAGCAGCTGCATCAGACACAAGAGTCCAGGACGCGACAAGGTCGGTGCGTCCGTGTCCAGGTCTTTGACCCCCAGGTCGGGATCGCGATGCCCTCCAATGACCAACCTACTCTTACATCTCCACTTGGGTTCGTCTTCACCTTCGGTTTGTTCTGCGCTCTTTCTGGCTGCCCAGTTTTTGTCGCGATAGGCCCACCTGCACGGCAAAATCCTGGAGGAAGGAACATTGGCCCTGACCCACTGGGACTGTTCACTCGTAAGTGGCTCCAGGGCGTCGTAGCTCAGGTGTTCTTCCCACTGGACTTTTTCGGCTTCTTTGAACAAGGGTCGGGCGCTTTCCGGTATCTCTGACCAACGTAGTTCTTTCTCTTGTCTCTTCGCCTGTCCTCTCTGGGTGAGGGCCTTGTGGGTGAGCAGGACTTGGCCCGGATTGGCCTGAACATCCTGCCTTATTGTCTTACGTGGGAGACGGCGTTGGGGTGTTCCAGGGTGGCATCGGGGCCACCGTCCATTGGCATGTCTTCGTCGCCACTGAGCACGATCTCGTCCTCCGAAGGCTCGTACTCGGAGAGGTGATCTCCTCCGTCGTCTTTCCTCTTAACACTCTCGCGGTAGTCGTCTCCGATCGCCCCAGTGCGGTCCCCGTCTTCGCCGTCGACGTCCATGTAGGTGTCGGGGTCGTCCAGGTCCATCGCCAAGAGCTTGTTGACCTCGGCTCTGACCCCTCTCATGGTGAGGAACTCTCCGATTTCCTCGGGCCCGGAACTTCTCAAGTGCTCCGGCGCGGTAAGCCGGCAGCGCCCATTTCTGACACCCAGTAGTTGCCCCCTTGACGGCCAACAATGACCGTGGGCCCAATCCAGTGAGGTCGCCTTCGGTCTTTGGGCTGGTCCCAGTAGTGCACCCACTCCCCGACCTCATAGGTTGCCTTGGCTGTCCTGGCACGATGTAGAAGTCCTCGTCGTAGTCGATCATCTCCTTGGGCTTGATGGAACGCCACTCTGGCGCTTGCTCTGATGGCCGCTGCTCTCTGAAACTTTGAGTCCTCCGTCAGATCCCAGGTCACGGTGCCCCCAGAATCAGGATCACAGAGTTCTTCGGGAATGCGGGGTGACTTGCCGAGGACCCATTGTGTGGGACTATGCCCACACCTCCTCCTCAAATCATTCTTCGCCGCGCACACCAAAGCTCCAGCTAGCTCTGCCTCCTCGCCCTCGATGTTGAGCTCATGAACAACGCGTTCCCATATTCCTTTGAACCATCCGATCTGGCGCTCGGTCACTCCTCCTTGCCACTTAGCTTGGGCGGCAACGTCCTTCATCTTGATGTTGTGCCAATCACATAGGCGACCGAGTCCAGCCTGAACCTTGCCGTCGAGGTCGAGAGACACCGTGCTCGGTGGTCCGAATGGCGTCAGCCAGCATGTGTTGAAGGCCCTCTCAACTGAAGGGCCGTCCTCGTGCTCGAGCTTCATAACGACCTGGTAGGTTGTGGCCCAATCGACCACAGTGAGGAACGCGTGGCGCTTGTCGTGGGCGTCGTGGGCGTAGAAGATGTCAACTCCGACGCAGGAGTTGAAGTCAAGTCCAGCAGTCGGGGCATCGCGGTGGGTCGCGCAATCTGTGCGTGCTTTGATGCCTGGCAGGTTTCACACTTCATGCCCTTGACGGCCTTAATCACACTTGGCTCACACCCTGCGAGTCTGAGATGACGGCACAGGTCTTTTTTTCTGGGGTGACCCAGGTTCTGGTGTAGCCTTCGCAGCGAGCTCTGTAGGATGCCAGGAACTCCATCATCGAAAGTGATGCCCGTCCCGTCGAGCTTGGCGGCCTCCTTCTCATCGCCATCATGACCGACCATACATACTTCATGCGGCCGTGGAAAGCCGCTCACCGTAGTTCCGTTCTTCTCGGGATGTCCCAGCAGAAGCCAGCTATCGCCATCAGCGCCGGTCTTGTACTTCACGTAGTCGACGAACTTAGCCTCCCACGCCCGTAGTTCACTGCCTCGTAGGACCACATCACCGGCCTCGTGGATCTGGTCCTTGATCAGATTCTCGATCGCATTCTCCACCTTCGCGGGCATATCGTCCAGGTGGATCCGCAGCTCCTTTGGGCTCGCTCCCTTCACGAAGTGGTAGGCATTCTCTTGGACCTCTGGGTTCGCATAGTCCTTCCACATGATCGGCTCGATCACCATCTTGCTCAGCGCTGTTGCCTCATAGGTGCCCTCATAGCCGCCAATCTCCATCATCACAATCGGGTCGTACTCCGTCTTGGGCTCCTGCACCTCACTCACATAGCTGGCCGCTGCTGCCATAAATGGCCATCAGGGCGCTGATCTTCCCGGCGGCGTTCATGATCGACTTTCTTTCCCTCTTCGCTGGCTTGGGCCTCGTAGTCGTCTTGCCGGGCTTGGTAGATCGCGGCAAAGGAAAGCCACTTCGCCTGAGGAATTTCTTGATTTCATTCCCGACCTCGCTCACCCCCCGCACGGTGTGGTAGGTGATGCACCATCGCTCTCCCTGCCACTCCTTGGTGGCATGGCCCATGGCGTAGGAACGGATCGAAGGTCACGAAGTTGTGCTTCGTGTTATAGTACCTTCCAGGAACCCAGGATCCGGTCCTATCACGCTTCCATACGATCTCCTTGTCGCCGGCGCCGTCCTCGTCAATCTCCTCCTCCAACCAGAGATCCCCGCCGGCTCGTTGTCCAATCGTCACGCAGTAGTTCCGGGCTCTTCGGAAGTTGTTGGAGTCACGGTGGATATCACAAGAAACATTCCTGGGCTTTTCAGTGGCACACTTTAACACTTTTTAATTAAGATCCCATATATCCAAACTTAGTAGCCCCAAGGGGGGGTACATTGACAAGCCCCTGTGACGAAACCTTACCTCCTTCAAAAGTTCTAAACCCTCAACCCCAAACCTGCAAAGCCCCTTCATCCTTCATCTACATCGACCTCGATACCGACGAGTGCTTGCGCCCGGCCGCCCAGGGAGGGTTTTCGTTTGGGGGTCTTGTGGTATTACAGGTCTTGATCATGGTTCGGGTTTGTGTCCTGCAAGATCTGTTGAGCTCGCCCATGTACATGATGTGCACACACACACTCACACACATACGTGCACATATGTATACATATATATACACACACATACAATTGATTGAATATCAGTGTGTGTATATATAGTTGTGCTTTATGTATTTATCTTGATTTTCGAAAACAGCAAACTTTGCGCCCAGGTCGGTTCCGCTCGCTCTTCTGGTGCCGCTGGGCTTGCTTGGAGGGTTTCAGGGTTTGAGTATTTTCGGACATAAAGGTTTTTAGTGGGGTCCGATGGACCTCAGGGAGGGGTCCGATGGACCTCAAGGGGGACCGATGGTCCCCGAGGGCATGGGTCCGATGGACCCAAGGGTTGGGGTTCGATGGACCCCGGGGGGGAGCCGATGGTCCCCAAGAGTAGTTATTGGTTGTGTGCTTTGTGTTCGGGAAGGGTTTGGGGTTTGGGTTCTGGCTAGGGTTGTAATTTTTTCAAGTCTTCTGTGGCCCCTGCCCCGGATTGTTTTGGCTGGCGTTGGCTAGGCTTCCTTCGTGTTGGTAGTATCGTGTGAGCATCCGGGGCGACAGGTTGAACCCCGTCATAAGTCAAGTCCTAAACCCTAAACCCTAAACCCTAAACCGTTGGCTACAGATTTTTCGCTTCTATCAAGGGTTATAGGTAACTTACTACCAAACGCCCCCCCTAAACCCTCAGCTCACCTGCCAACAAAGCCCCACTCCAAAGCCGTGCCGCCAGGTGGTGCTGCTGCTGATCACGGCGTGTTCTCTCTGTCGGGGGCCTATGAGACTGTCTCTTGAACCAGTCCGTTTGTGCTTGTTGACTGGGGCTTGCGAGCAGTGTTGTGCGGACGCCTGTGGCGGGCTCGAGTCCTTGATTCATGATGCTGCAGCATGGCATATACATTGCACAGGCAGACAGCCTAACTAGGGCAGGGGTTGCATCCACGATTAGGCCTAGGCCTGAACTTAAGGCTTCAGGCCTTCTCTCTAGAGCCCTCCCCTCGCGTGCAGCGATGGTTGGCAAGAACCGGCCTTCCAAGCAGAAGTCCCAGGCCAAATTTGCCAGTCGCAAAACTCAGGCTGGGGCCCATGACACTAGTTGTCACGTTCCAGTTGCACTGGGGTTCTGTCAATTTCGAGAAACTGAGAGGAACAGTTGGCCGAGATCTCCCGACAGTTGGGCGATTTGGCGAAGGCGAAGGCTGCTCAACCGCCAGCAGCCCCCTGCTTGCATCGATGTGTTGTGGTTGTGGTGTTCTGCATTTGACTGAAACGCTTGTCTTGACTTCCCTATTGTTGCCAGGCTGTTCCGATACAGAACCCGGCAGCTTCTTGGACGAAAGCATGGCAGCTTTACAAAGAAAGATGCATTGTTCAGGCTTCTGTGTTCTCAGGCTGCGCCGCCTCCGGCTCCAAGTCAAAGCTGGGAGGTGACCTCTCTGCATCTGTAATTGGGTAGAAGGTAGAAGGCAGCGGCTCTGTGCTGAACGCTGACTTGCATCTGCACAAAGCCAAGGGCCGTCCGGGTGAGGCTGCACCGGCTTCCAGCTCGTCGTCATGGGAGGTGACCTCTCTGCATCTGTGCTTGGGTAGAAGGCAGCTCTCTGCTGAAAGCTGATTTGCATCTGCACAAGCTAAGGGCCGTCCAGCTGCTGCCGAGGGTGCTGGGAAGGGCTTGGGCAAGATGAGGCCAGAGCTTGGTTTGCACTTTGGGCATGTGCTTTTTTCCCTGGGTTTGATTACTGTAGCTTCGAAACTACATTAAGGTGATCATACTTAGCAGTTCTTGTTCAACTAAGGAGCTGCATGACCTCTACGTCGATTTGTTGACCTGCAACAGCAGCCATCGGCTGCGAGGATTGTTATCGCAGTTGAATCGGTTGGACTCTGCGGATATTCAGCTGATCTTCCGGAAAGACAACATAGCGCAGCGATTCAAGATGTTCCTGGAACAGGGCGACTCCCTCCGCACACAGGTCCTCACCCTTTTGCAGAGGGTCGAACCTGGGTTTCCGGACCAGGGCGTTGTGATCCCGGCCCTTTTAGCCATCTACGAGCAGGAGAACGTGGAAAGGCAGGGTGTCAAAATCAACCGTAGTGGCCGTAGTTACAGCATGCACATCGCCCCAGCCGGCTTCTGGAAAGGCGAGCCGTGGCGATGGATGTCCTGCAGAGGTGGGTGCCAGGGCTGATCGACAGGAGACCTCATGTCGCAGCCACTTCGCCGAATTACCGAATAAGCTTTCTGAGGTTGTCGTGTTAACGTTTTGGTCGCAGAGCCTGACTGTTTTGCTGTCGGGGATTTGGCTTTCTGAGATGGACCCGCTGACGGTTGTGCCGAAGTTGCATCAGCCGGCGAAGGCGGCGGGGCCCGGCATGGCGAAGGCGGCGGGGCCCGGGATGGCGAAGGCGGCGGAGCCCAAGATGGCGAAGGCCGTGGAGCCCAAGATGGCGAAGGCCGTGGAGCCCAAGATGGCGAAGGCGGCGGGGCCCGAGATGGCGAAGGCCGCGGAGCCCAAGATGGCGAAGGCGAAGGCCGTGGAGCCCAAGATGGCGAAGGCTGCGGAGCCCAAGATGGCGAAGGCGGCGGCTGTGGAGCCCAAGATGGCGAAGGCGGCGGCTGTGGTGCCCAAGATGGCGAAGGCGAAGGCCGAGCCCAAGATGGCGAAGGCCAAAGTGATGGCGCCCCGGTCAAAGAAGAGGGTGAGGTCTCCGTCGTCGTCTTCGAGCAGCTGATGTGGATCCTCGCTGTCGGTCGCGGAGTGAAAAAGCGAGAGATGCGAGTTGGCGTGCTTGTGGAGCTTTGCCTTTGTTGCACATTTGCCCTTGTTGCACATTTGGTCTTGCACTTCACTTCGTTTCGCCCAGGCCGATTGAGTTACCGAGCACTCTGACTGTGTTGGGCCCTCGGTGTTAGATCGCAAGATTGCTGCCTTCCAGGGTTCTGTTTTCAAGACGAGGCTTCATGCAGCTAGAAAGTCAGCAGTTATTTCGAGATTCGAGATTGACCCCAGGCCGACGGAGCTGCTCAGGATTCTCGCTAGGTTGGGCCCTCGGTGTGGACGGTGATGCTTGGCCCCAGCTTGCAAACCCCCATTCTCGGCCCGAAAATGGGGGTTTGCAAACCCCCCTTTCAAACCCCCATTTTCGGCCCGAAAATGGGGGTTTGAAGGGGGTTTGCAAACCCCATTTTCGGGCCGACAAACGGTGGTTTAGGGTTTGGGTTTTGGGTTTTGGGAAAAGGAGTTTGGGGCCTCTGGGTTTGAGCGGGTCCTTGGTGCCACCACGCCAGTGTTCTTCGCTTCATTGGCCCAGGCCGGCTGAGCTCGTGGTGCTTTGCGTTGGGCCCTCGGTGCACTCGTTCGAACGGGTTCACACAGATGATTGGAAAGGGCTTGGGGTTTTTGGGGTTTGAGCCGAGCAGGTTGTGTTTGCAGCCTGGTTTATTCCTTGGTGGCACTCTGGTCTTGTTCTGCGCCCAGGCCAGTAGACCTCAACATTCTCGCACGTCGGGACCTTGGTGTGGGGCGGGTCCGATGGACCTGTCGGGCGGGTCCACTGGATCAGGGAGCACCCATCTGCGTCTTTAACCTGCGCCCTCAGTTTGGCTCCCAACTCACAGATTGCGACTGTTTTGTGTCGGCCTCTCGTGCCCAGGCCGATTGAGCTCAGCCTGCTCCATGCCGTGCTAGGTGGGGTCCTCGGCAGCACACTAATCCCACCTAAAGTTGTACGGAAATGCGGGGAACGACCGCGCCTCTAAATTTTCGGATTTTTTCCAGAATCGGTCGCTCGTTTCCAAGCATGCATATTGTTCTAAGATCCAGACCCGGACACCATTGTGCCTAGGCCGATCGAGCTCAGCATTGTCGCCGCATCGAGCTACGTTTTGCCCTCGGTGTGGCAGTGAGCCTTTGCCCAACTAGTTTCGGGGATGATTGGATTGAAAGGGAGTTTGGGTTTTGGGGTTTGGGAGCCGACTGGCTCTCAGGGCGGGTCCGACGGACCTGTAGGGTGGGTCCGATGGACCTGTGCGGGGGTGTGGGCCAGGGAGGGGTCAGGGATGACGCAGGATTGCGAAGTTGTTCTGCTTGTCTTGTGTTGCTCAGACTGACAGAGTCGTGGCATGTCTTGGCACGGCACGAAGGAGTAATCAATGCCTAGCAGGAGTAATCAATGCCTAGCAGGACATGGTCGACAGACTCTCGCAAGCATTTCCCTTCAACTTCCCAGCATTGCAAAAATCAGACACTTGACTTTTCTTCCTGCCCATCCTGTCACTGCCGTGGCGACGAACGGATGCGTGCCAGATCCCCTGACGGTCGGTGCCTCAGATTGGCTGAAGGCACCAACAAGCCCATATGCCGATCCGCCTGTCCTCGGCCAGGCGAGCATGCTCGACGTTGCTTGGAGAAGTTTGGCAGTGTCACCTTCTGAGAACCCTTGTCGCATTCCGGCTGACTGCGTCGGTGCGGACAGGTATCGACGTGTCTTCTTGTGCCGAGGCCAAGGAGGCTGTTCGACGTTGCAATCGGTGCAAATTCTTGAAGAACAAGGACAAATGGTTTGGCCGACTGCTGTACCGTGACGGTGATGTGCAGAGCACTTGGCTTTGCGAAGCACCGCCGACCCAGGCTTGGGGCCTAGGCTGCAAGCTGTGCCGGGCGAAATGTGCAGCCCCAGAGCAGTCCTCCTCGCCCTTCGTACGGTTCACGAAGGGATCCGTCTGCAGGGAAGCGCCTCCTACGCAACTCATGGTTTTTACTTTCTGGGCATCTCGTCTTTCCTTTGCCTTCTCATCTGAGGTGCCTCTTACTCGTTTCGGAGATGTTCTTCAGCTTCAAGATTTAAAGCGCCACGAGGAAACCGACCTCCACGTCAGCAGCCTCTTGGTCGAGCAGCCCGTGGAGGCCGTTTCTGCGAAGGCCGATGCCACGGCTCCGACTGCCGGCCAGGTTCACTTGGCCATTCAGGTCCTAATGGAGCCCCGCAGCGGGCAATCCGTCGGCTACGCCTCGCGGTGCGAGCTGGCTCATCGTTCAGACCCAGGTAACTTCCCGCTACAAAGAGCATCCCCGTGTGAGCACTCGAAGATCATTTCAGCGCTGGCAGCCGTATTGAGAGAGGAGGCTCGCCCTTGAGGCACACAGCACACATTGACATGCATGTCCTCAAATAGACCTGCAGGACCGGCGGCTTGCAAAAAAATGCAAAAGTGCTGGTTGGGCCGAGGACTGTTGACACAGTGGTCGCGGTCGCATCTTAATTTCATTGTATTTGCCGTGCAGGATGTCAGCCAGGACACATTGGCGGTGAAAGTCAAGATGGTTGACAACAACTATGTTGTTCACAGACGCATCCTCGAACTGTCTCGGTGCAATGGCCAGAAGGCCGATTTGCTAATTTTCCAGTGATGTCAGTGATGTCCTTTAGTTGTTGATTGTCTTTTGCCAGACATCGCTACAAAAAGCTGACCACATCCAGCTGGCCTTGGAGAGATTTTGCCCGGACGAGGGCGACCGCTCGGCTTTTGCGAAGACTTTCAAGGAGCCGGGGCCCCGCTTCAGATGCTATCAGACGCCCGCCCAATGTGCCACAGGTCTACACGGTGGACGGCGAAAGGGCAGAGGGACTGGCCGGGCGGTTTGCGGCCGCAGGGGTCTCGGTTGCTTTAACTTACTCGGGGTACCTGCTCCGTGGTTTTCCCGCGAGGCCAGAGGAATCATGCCTTGCTTGTGTACGACAACGAGGTGCTGCATGCACAGCGCTCAGAGGTCGCTCGAAAAGAGCATCAAATCCGACAGTCGATTGAATCAGCTCATCGAGCTCTTTGTTCTTCGTTACTCCACGAAAAGCAAGCACGACCCAGGGAGCTTTTGGAGGGCTTTGGCACACTCTCACAAACTATGTTCCAAGTATTCGGAGGCAGTGCGAAGCCAGTTGGAGGGAGTGGCCGAAGTATTGGGGCAAGATTTTTCTTGTCACTTTGCAGCCCAGAGATTCGACACGATAACTGTTGCACTGAAGAAACTGATTCTATCTTTGCCGGCGGTGGTCCTCTTCTTGACACAGCTTGCAGCCCTGAATAATGAGAAAAGCAAGTGGGCTGAGACTTTGCTCGCAGCCCCTCGGACACAACTAAACAGTGCCGTCCTTGCCAGCTGGTTGCCGCCGCTCTCAGACTGTCTCCTAGGTGTTGTCGCCCTCAAACATTCGACTTCTTGCCCTCGCCACCGAGTGGCTGACGATGGCAAGCCGGTTCGTGCACGAGTACGATCGGGGAAGCACAAAAGAAGGTGCAGAGCCTGCCCAAACCTCTGCCGTCGCCAATGTTGCCCGCTGCTCTCGCCTCACGCTGGCCCTTGAGCAGGACCACGCAGGGCTTTCGGTGTCTTGCCAGTTCTTCTTCAGCGGCGGACTTGCTGTCTCATTCTTAAGCCCGAGGACTTGAATCGGAGATTCAGCTTCGTCTCTCTTCACGGCGAACCTCAGCGACCCTTGGTCCTGTCTCCGCTGTACTCTGCGGGATATCTGAACATCGCCGAGAAACACATGCGGGCTGCAAGCAGCTGCTTGTTTTGACTTGATCGGTTACGCCGCTTCGCCCCAACAGAGCTGGCGAGCCCCAACATCCCAGGTGATGCGGACATGGCTGTGGTGCATGATGGGAGGCTGCTGTTCCATCTGGAAGGCCTTCCTGTCGGACAATTGTGTTTTTTTTTCCGGGTTGAGTTGTGGATGTTTCGAGGCGATGCAAGCGATGAGGCCCGGGCTGCGGCGGCAGCGGCAGAGCTGGGAACGATTAAGAACGTTTCCGATGTGTTTTTGGGCTGTGTCCAAGCCTGGCACAATTCCGGGGTGGCGGCCGCACTGGCGCCGTTCGATGTACTCCATTGGGTGGCAAAGCGGAAAGATGCAGACTTGTGCCAGGATAGCATTTAGTGGCTAGTTCGTAGCAAGGCTGTGAACCAGAATTCCATTACCTCGTGGCTCAGGGATGAGCTGCTGGCTCCCCTGGCGAAGCTCTTGGAAGTCGACGCCAAAGCCCTTAGAGAAGAGTATCTTTGTGCAAGACCCACCGCCATCTTCCTGGCAAGGCTGGGGCTTCGGTGTTACCTATCCTTCGCTTGCTCAGACGAAACCATGCTGCAGGTCAGGCGAGCAGGAGTTTTGGCCCGCCACGATGCAACGGTTTCGGAATCTTTCTGCTCTCAAGGTAGCGGTCCACAGCTCAGACCCGGCTGCGACGATGCCCTTCTGAACTTTGCGGCTGCAGGGCTGGAAAATGGTCAAAAGCAAACCCCCATTCTCGGCCCGAGAAGGGGGGTTTGCTTTTGGCGCTGCAGGGCTGAAAAATGGCCGAAAGCAACCCCAGGTCCGGTACCTGCTTTGCATCTTCGACTCGACGAGCGAGATCGAGAGTAGTTTCAGCACCCTGCGCCTGTTCTCAGGACCTGCTTTGCTTCTGAGCTGTGTCATTTGCTTTGTGCCCATCCCCTTGTCAGGAGGAATCAAGGGCAGCATGACACCTGCCAATGCCGATGCCTACCTGAAAGCGTGGTGCGACTGTCCTCCTCTGGACAAAGTCGTTTTCTTCGATGGCAAGAACTACCAGCCCCGTCCCCTGTATTACAAGATCATTACAAAGTACAAAGAGATTCATGGGGGCAGTGGTGCCAACACGAAGAAGACTCGATTGCCAAGAAGGCAGTTTGTTTCCAGAAAGCGGAAAACTGGATTGAATGCCTTTGAGAGGCGGCGGCAGGCTGAGCTTGAGGCTGCCGGATCCCAAACAGGAGAGGAGACTTTGAATTTGGAAGCCCTGGATGCTATTGCGAAATGCAGTGCAAAGACGAGGCAGACCCAAACTCAGGTCGACCTCCGGGAAGCTGTGAAGAAGCTGCAGGCAGACCTTTGGCGGGACTTCACGTCTGGGCCCCTCTGTGGGACGGCCCAGAAGCTCAAGCAGCACGAGAAGGAACATCTTGAGAACAAGGAGAAGTTGGGCCGGCTGGAGCAAAGGCATTTGCAGGAGCAGCATGTTACCCTGCCTCCTGGCTTTTGTGCTTTCGTCGTTCTTGGTGGCTGCAAGGAGGCGAAGACCCGTGTCAAAAAGCAATTGCTTCGCCTTGGGGTCTGTGGCTCTGTTTATGGTGGCTCTGACTTCCTGAACTATATCTCCGAGGAGAAGCTGCTTGCCAAGGTCGGCCCAAATCACTTCGTCTACATCTGCTGTGATAGTGATAGTTTCCTCCGGACCATCCATCCGTCAGTGCCAGAGGATGACGACATGAAGGAGGGATGCATCAGCCTCGCAATCCGCGTCTTGGGCGGGTTCGTGGGGACGGAACAGTGGGTTAACCATGCGGCGAAACGGCCGCACGAGCCGCCGGCCCCCATCTTGCGGCTGCTCCCGGCCTATGAACAGAACATCCAGTTCTATATGTCGGACAAGGTTCACGAGAAGCTGAAGGGCATCGTGGTTCATCTGCAGAATGCCTTGACCGAGAGCATCCTAGCCCCCAACGTGCGGTGGATGATGAGAGAGAAGAGAACGCTTCTGTGTTCTGGCGGCAAGAAGTTCAGAAAAAGTGTTGTCGCCGTTGTGTCGGCCATTTGGTGTCTGTCAAAGGAGTCTGCCGGGGGACCCCCTGGCCCGACGAGCGTGCCCTGCACTGTCGTCCTAGGATGGGGCTCATTGGGGGACCCCTTCCAGCGACAAGGGGCTCTCTCAGAATTTGGGAGCTGGGAGTCCTGTTGGTTCAGGATGGATGGACGTGGAATGTCAGGGTCAAGATGGGAAGCAATGGTCCAAAAATGGTCCTGGTCACATCCCTGCTTTGTCGTTTCTTCGTCTTGGTGGGGGGTATGTCTGGAGACCCCCTTGCCGGACGAGCGTGCCCTGCGCCGCTGTCGGAGCGGGGGGTATGTGGATGAACTCCTGTGTCCTACGCCGAGCTATGGAAAAAAAGTCTTTTGACAATCAAACCAGCCAAGGAACCGGAAGCGTGCCTTCCTCGTCGTGCCTCAGGTGCAGGAGGCCACTCGGAAAAAGCTCGTCAAGAAGGGCGTGGCCGGAACATTAGTGTCCATCAAAGACTTCTTTCGTGTCCTGACCAAGTGTCTTGGACGACATCCATACCAGTCCCGGGGTTGATGTGCATGTGTGGGCGACTAGTTTTCACTCGTGTCTCAGGTGGCTTTGACTCTGTCGGCGAGCTGGCGAAATCCGCCGGCATGGGGTCTTTTGCCACCTCGTGCAAGGTGGCTTTAGGGGTCCAGGACCGCAAGGTCTTGTTCATATTTTTTCGTCTGCTGAGCAGCTGACTGCAGCTGCCTGGGGAAGGATGTCGGGGTGCAAGAGTGAAAGCAAGCCTGCTCAGCCTTTCTGTTGAGGCTCCAATCTTTCGCAGCTCCGTCTCATTAACACTTGCTCTGTGACTCGCAGCATTTTTTGCTTCGCCACGTTTTGAGGGTCAGTGCCTTTAAAGGGCACTTTGGATCAATATGGGCAAACCACGTACCTCTGGTGGTGGCAAGCCAGCGAAGAAGCTGGCCAAGACCAAGGCCGACGACACGGAGCAGCTTCAGGACGACCAACATTTGTGGACAGCGATCCGGGAAAGCATCGGTGTCATCCGTGCTGCGAATGCCTGGCCGGAAGCAGGCTCCGACCCGTTGCCTGCCGAGGGCCTGATGCCCTTGGGTCCTAACTGGGATGGATCCATGGTCAAGGACGACCAAGAGTATCTCGGCTTAAAGTTTCTTGGCTTCGGTTGTCCCGATCTTGCTGCTGCTTACCTTACTTAAGGCAGCAGACGCGAGGGTGTGGAGTGCTCGGTGACCTGAACTGGGAACGAGCCGGCCCGGGCTGCGTTCTGTCGTGGGGCGATATGTGCGATGCACGAGATTTCCATCTCAGAAAGGACCACATTGACCCTTTGCCGTGCACCATGGTTCTCTGCCAGGCGGAGACCAAGAGGCCGGTGAGAATGATGCAAGCCGCTTGTCTTAAGTCTTAGTTGCTTAGATTCGGATTTTCCCTGAGGGGAGAGCTCACTCCAACGAGCCACTTGCCGCACTTGGCGGCCTTCGTCATCGAATGGGCCCACCTGCTGGAAACCGATGACCCCAAGAAGGACGTGTTCGCGAAGCGAGCGCGAGTGTCTTGGATGTCACATGAATCATATGCCCCAACATTCTTTGCCGGTCCACACTCCGCGACCGAGGCCCTGCCTTTGCTCTTCGTGCGCTGCTCTCCTGACAGTGCGGATGCTTTCTGGGAATCTCACAAGAGAGGAGAAACGGTGCAAGCCGCATCTTTCCAGGCAAGTGTCACTGCTGGCTGCCGCGGGTTTTGATCTTTGAGCCTGCAGTCTGCCAGGAAGGGAATCAATTTGCTTGCCGACTGAGTGATCGCTTGTACATGTCGCCAGACTTATGTTGTCTTGCCAGTCCTTCATACGCCATCATGGGTGAGCTACAAAGGCTTCAGCAACTACATGCTGGCCTCGGAAAACCAACGAACGCGGAGGGGCTCTTCCTGGCCTTTCAGGTGGGCTGGTTTCATTGATCACGCACCTCTCCTCGCCCCCCCCTCCACCTCGTTCACTTGGGCGCCAGGAGCAGGTAAAGAACCAGCGGCTGAAGTTCGGCTCGGGCGACAGCGAGGCTGCCAAGCACCTGCTGTCACACAGACTTGCTAGACGTTTCTCTTTGTGTCAGGTCAGCTCCGAAGACAAGGTGGCAAAATTGCTCAGGCTCAGAAAGCGATGCCAGGAGGCCAACTGCTGGGAGTTCCTGAAGAGTATGCAGTTCTTCAACAACAGCCCGACGTGGGCGAGCCGGTGGTCGGTAGTTACTAGGTTTTGGAGCAACATCTGATTATACTTTCATGGGACATGTGACAAAAAGAAGCCATTATGAAATACCAGTTGATTTTTCTTCTCCTCGGTTCCTTTCCCTGCAACGCCCAGGTAACTCGGGTTCTGGGGATTGCGAGCAGTCCCGACGAGTTCGGCTGGGTGATTCGTCGGTAGCTCAGCATCTGTCACCATCACACTGATTCTGGCCCCACCCACATGCTTTAAAAGATTGTCGCTGAAACTTTGTCCTCAGGACAGCTGTATATCGGGATGAAGGGCGACAACCCGGCACAAACTTTCCGAGTTGCCGTCAACGAGATGAGCCGCGACAACCTGCTGGACACGTTTCAGGCTTTGGTTTGCACCCGCCAATGCATGCAGGCGGGCTGGGTCAGCAACCTCCGTCTCGTTTAATTTCTCTTGCTCAAGACCGCTTGCAGGCAATCATAGAGTCGACGACGGAGAGGGAAAAATCTTCGGAGTGGAGAGACCTCCTTTCCACCTACGTGAATCCGGAAAGCCTCAAGCTTTCGGGTGGCGGCTTCGCCGACATCCACCAAGAAGCCTTCTTAGGCAAAACCGCCGAACAGGCAGCCGTCCTGCTTTTGCTGAAGCAGTTCTTGGACTTGGACTGTTTGCCAACCATGTATGCCGTGGTGGCTTCTCACGACACTGCTGTGAACCGCTTTTCGGACTCGCGGGTCCAGAACTTGGTGAAAAAAACAATCGAGGAGCCGCTGGACGTGGACTAAACTCTAGGATTGATGGTAATCTCTGTGTTTCTTGATGGCCACAATCTGTTTGGAGCCGAGGCACAATGCCGTGCATCTGACGCCGCTCCCTCCGGTTGCTGCCCTGCCTGATGCTGAGGAGATTTTGAAAGAGATGTCAGCTGACTGGGACGACAAGGATGTGTCTGGGCCCGCCGCAGAGCCTGCCGCCCCTCCTCCAAAACCCAAGCCGGCCTCCGACCTCCAGAAGGCTAAGGTCGAGGTGCTGCGGTACTGCAAGTTCGTGGTGGCGGACATCACCAACCTGAGCAGTGTCCAGACGGCCTTAGCTGACTGTGCCTCCAGCCTTTTGCCGCCCGACGGCGTGACATCTGCTGGCAAAGTGCGGGGGTGGATGTTCGACAGTGGTCTCATCCTTGAACCCTCGGAAGTTTTTTCGCGGAGTCACAACATCTACTCTCGGACTCCACCATTCGGCAAATCCGTCTTGAGACTCTGCTGCAACGGGGGGGTTTTGTTTTTGTGCAATGTTCAGATTCCGACTGTGTGGGCTGGATTGCAAGGGCCAATGTGGTGAAGATCTTCGGCTCACAGGCCAAGGAGGACAAGGCGTCGTGAGGGTTCCATGCCCACGTGTCTCAGGGACTCATTCATATTGACTGCCGTCATTTCTTGCCTTTAGCGCCCAGGATGCCCTGCTGGTCTTCGACGTGGGGTCAAGCCAAGCGAACGGTGAGATTCGAAAGCAGATGAACAAGCTCAACGTGCCCAATGCGACGCTGAATTCCTTGCTGCTCATGCCCAGCTCCCAGGAGGACCTTGAGCGGCGAGCCAAGTGTGGGCCCGGTGGCCAGGACACGTAGCTTGCCAGAATCCTTCGTGCCGCTCGCTCTCTCAAACTCTCTCAAAGTCTCTCTCTAAAACTCTCTCGCTCTCTCTCACTCTCTCTCTCTATTTAGGGCACCGGCGAAAAAGCGAAAGCGGGCCTTCTCCCTGAACACCATCGTGGGCAAGGAAACCTTGGTCTTCGCAGCGCCTCCGCTGATTGCACGGGAACACCGCTTCATCGGCGAAGGCACAGACAGCACCTGCCCCTGGCTTCCGATTCCTTTGCCAGACCCCGCACAGCTGCCGATGGTCGAAAAGAAAATCAAAAGCCAGATCATGCTGACCATGAATGAGAAGAAGGAGGTCGTCCCGATCTCGGGTGCCGCCACCATGGTACCGGATGATGTGGGCGAGGAGGACTGAAAATTGTATTGAGCATTCTCCTTGCAGCACTGCTGTTTTTACTTGGCCAGAGCTCTTCTTGTTGTGCGATGCAGGAGTTGGTGCCGTTGCACGTCAACGGCAGACACCAGATCCTCTATCGGGAGTTGTTTCATACCTTCCGCTTGCACTCCATCGTCCTGTGGACACCAGAGACAGCAGCAGTGGTGGCTGCCGTCAAAGACAAGGTGAGCTGCATCGCAATCTTACGCAACACATGTCACATGCAGTTGCTCATGAACTCCGTCGTGGAGGAGTTGGCGAAGGACACTGCTTTTTCCAACCCGGCTCCCTCGAATCCCGTGCCATCAAATCCGGTGGCGCCTGCCAAAAGCGAAACCACCGGAGAGGGCGGCTCGAACACAAAGCCCAAGGCTGAGAGCGAGCCTAAGAAGGCAAGTGCCGAAAAGGCGTTCCCGCCCAGCGATGACGACGAGGATGGGTCCGATTCTAACGACTCCAACGAGAGCTAAATTTTAATGTTCCTGCTAGTCCATGTGGCCACAGGCATGCTGTCGTAGAAATCAGTTCTTCATCTTTCCTGTCGAAGCCAAGTGACTGCCGTTTTGGGCCACTGTGGACGGAGTTAGGAAGCAGCGATCTTTGCTGTCCGCGGTGACAACTTAAAAGCTGGGGAAAGCAGCTGCAAATCACACATTGAGTGGCATGGTTGGTCACCCTGTTGTTTGTCAGCCGCTCAAGTTTTTGTGATACGGGTCTTTGCTTGCGGAGGGCACTGAACCTCATGAGTTCGAAAGCTGCCGCGGCCCTGGCAGCTGTACAGCTGGGAGACGCTTCGAACAGACGTGAGGGCCTTATAAGCAGGAGGGAATCGCTGCAATGTTGTTGCTACTTACTGCTACTTATCCATTACACATCTCTACGTGAGGTAGCCGCCGAGTCTCAGACATTACTCAGATCCGCCTGGATGCGATTCTGTCCAAGACAAAGGCTGGCGACCGTGCCTGAAGCGCAATTCTGAGCGACGTGCGGGTGGCAGGATTTCGTAGAGGACCTCTGCTCGCTGGTCGAGCCCGTGGATGTGTGGAGGGCTCGGAAGGTTCTCTGGCTGAGGAGTTGCAATGTCGTTTTGCCCAGGTCCTTGGGTTCCAAGAAAAAGGGGCGGAGCATGCCCGGGCCCCCAGATTAGCTGACCCCAAACAGGCAGAGAATTCATGGTTTGCCAGGTTCTTCGGAGTCCAGAAGAAGAAGCGGGAAAAGCAGGACAAGAATCAGCCGGCAGATGCTACAGACAAAAAGAAGAAGCAGAAGAAGCAGAAGAAGGAGAAGAAAGATGAGTACATACTGAACCCAAAGAACACCTCTTGCCCCAGGGTTCTGAAGGGACTCTGCCATGTTCTTCGTAGCGAGACAAAGGATGCCGTCGCTTTCAACCGGGTGAAGATTATCTACGACCCTAAGGGGGGAGCATCAGGCATGACTGCTGCCGGCGCCGGCCGTCTCCGTCCGACCTTGGTCATGTCCGCGTGGAAGGGCGACGGTCGAGTGCCAGAAGGCTGGGGAAGCTCGCGGGGCACATTCCAATCTATTTCAACCTTTGTTGCAGGTGCTGGCATGATCTGGTCCTACATCAACGGGGTGGATGCTGAGGCGGACAATCACATGCCGAGCCTCGGCAAGGTCGGCTTCCGTCTTCCTTCGGGTTCCGTCTCTAGCACGTGTCTTGTTGCAGGTGGCGCAGATCGACGGCCGATTCCCGTGGGCATTCGTGCAAGCGCCATCCTTCTGCGTGGTGGGCGAATGGGTCGGTGGGAAAAAGATGAGCCCTGCTATGTCGGACGCCCTGCAGCAGTCCGGCTTTCTTGTCGCCTCCGACCGCAGCTCCCTGGCAGAGCTTCCCGAAGCGATGGCTACAGGATCCCTTCTCTCGAAACTGGCAGCGAAAAGATTCCGAGTTGAGCATCCAGGGGCCAAGAAGGCCCGGCACATTCCGGCATGTATTCAAGGCCCTTCTCCTGGCATCTATCTTCTTGCGTCTGCCGCCTTGAGGTGCGGAAACCAACTTTCTGCGAGACGTGCATGTGTGACAGCTGCCGGACAGCACGTGCAGATGCGGCCAAGTGAGCTGCGTGAGATGGACCCCGTATGCGTGACAGCTGCTTATGAAGGACGGGCAGATGCAGCTGCAGTTTTGTGCGGTTCCGTGTGTGCGACAGCTGCCTTTGAAACACGGGCAGCCAAGTGGTCGACTCCAGATGTATGACAGCTGCAAGAGCACGGGCCTATGCAGAAAAGGTTGTCTGCCAGTTAGGCTTGCAGTTTTGTAGCGGCAATGTTGGGTAGCTGGATCCATTTGTGCAGCTTTCTTTGGAGATTCCGCACCATCGTCGGCTGGGCATCCGTAAACCTTGATCTGTAAACCCGAATCCGTTGGGAAAAGCATTGCTGGCCTGCTCTTTCGGCATTCTTGTTGCCCCCTGACCCAGGCATTGCTTCCGACAGCGGGCCGCAGACAACCACAATTCCAAATAGAGTTTGGGCACAAGCACAGCCGCCAGGAGCCGTGTAGGACAATCACATTTAGAGATGAGCAAAAGACACAGACAACAGGCAACGGACAACCACATTTGGGCAGGGGTCTCCGACAGCGGGCCCGCAAACCCTAAGACAATCACAATTTCATATGAGGCTAAAACCCTCCACCCTTCCAAACTGTGGTTGCCCAGCCTCCCGTCGGATGACGACCAGACGGTTGGACAGCATTCGGCGAGGCCAATTCAATTGCGCAAATGCCGTCAACATTTTTTTTTACGTCAACGAAATGAAGCGGACAATCACAATTCGACATGACCAGGACAACCACAATTCGATATGCAACGACAAATTATGCATCAGTTTCGAAAAGCAAGGTAACTATGACATGAATCATAGTTCAGAATAAGTTTTTAACATAGCATTCACAGTCCTGTGCTTTCATCATCACGGTTGAATCCATTGGTTCCAGGCCTCCATTCGCTTTGTGACAAGAAAGAGTGACTTGAGAAAATGCATAGACTCGATGATGACTTAGCTGCATCTGAAGCTTCCGGCAAATCTGATAGGCTCATCGATGAAGTGCTTACAGCCCACTGAGTGGTGCAATGTATGCTAGAGGGGCTGCCGGCACTGAGAATAGTTCTGAAGATGCTAGCCGCAAGAAGACACTTCGAGAAAGTTATTCATGTTCCTTGTTCCATAGGTACCTATTCAGCAGTCTGTTTTACTGAGGAATCCTCAGAATGTGACGTGTTGCTTTGGGTCCAGTGGACCCGAGGGGGGTCCTGCGATTTCGAACATGTGCAGGTGTTCGGTCGTGAACAAGGGTGCCAGTCTCAAGGGTGCCGAGAAGCTGCCGTCACCAGGCTGCATGCGAATTCGAATTAACACATGTGCTGAATTGAGCTGTGATGGGCAAGCTGTGACTCTTCAGAATCAGACTTGTAATTTCATGGCAAGCCGTGACTTTTCAGATTCACATGTGTTCGCATGCCCAGCATTGCGGGCACAAGGGACGATCTCTCTCGACCAAGGTCTCTGCGAGTCTTTTCAGATTTTCAGCTGCGGACAAACACAGAGCTCCGAAGCAGCAAATCATCAGCCTCACTGTCAAAACCGTCATTGCCTGGGATCGACAGGTTTCTTCCCGTGCGATGCCGAGCTCTCCGTACAAGTGTCCCGGCTGCGGGGCTGGGAGTAGGCGCAAGCCGCCTGCCCTGTGCAATGGCTGTGCCGTGGTTGCATTTCAAAACCTCAAGCCAAAGCATTGTGGATGCTGGCTGCTGCCTCCTTTCTCTTTCCGGACTAATTAAGGTGATGTGAGAAATACTCGTGGTCACAACCTCAAGAGCGACAGGAAAATTCAGACGGGCAAGCACTGGAAACAGAGCAGTTCTTCGAAGCGCAGAGTGGTGGCATCGTGGTGGGACGAGGATACGGAGCTGCCTCGGCCGACGCCGAGGGGCGGTTTGCTGCCTCCACATGAGCAGTTTGAACACCGCATCTGGATTAAGCATGCCGTGTACCCCGGCTCCGGCATTGGCTACTTGTTCCAGGGAAGTTGCTTTGCCGCATCTGAGCATTGTGTCCTTCCTGCCATTTCCTGCCTATCAAAAACTTCTTCGGCTGTGCCGTGGATTGGATCCTTCAGGTCTGTGCGATGATGTCGTCGACTTGAAGCGCAAGCCGAAGTGCTTCGATCTGTTGACGACCAGCAGCCAGTTGCTGAGAAGCATTTTATGGCAATCAGAATTCTTGGCACTTTCCGGTGTCATATTTCATATGAAGCTCAGGCAGGCGGTCGGCGGCAGCATCAGCGGCAGCAGCAGCGGCAGCAGCAGCGGCGGAAGGGCCGGCGGCAGCGGCTGAAGCGAGTGCAGTGGATACGGCGAAAACAAGACCAGGGCGGTGCATGCATTCAGTCACTGCAGGCAGAAGCTCCGCAATTTCCACAATGCCTTCACAAATGTTGACTTAATCTCGACCTTTAAGTTCAATCTACTTTGAAAGCCCAATGCCAAACCCTAAGCCCAAACCCCAATGAAACATTGATTTCAAAACCCAAGCTCCAAGTGCAATTAATCTCAAACCCTAAACTCAAGCCATAGTTTCAAACCCTCAACCTCAAGCCCTAATCTCAAAAACCCTATTTCAAACACTAAGCCCTAAACCCTCACTCTCAAACGCAAATCTCGAACGTTAATCTCGAACCGAAATCTCAGAACCTAATCTCGAACCCTATAGTTTATCTCAAACCTTAATCGGCGACCATTGCTCAGCAAAGCTTCATCTGTAACCTGATCCGTAAACCCTTTAGTGGCTGTGCTGCTGTTTTTCTTTTTTTTTCTTGCGCCCAGGTCGGCCTCATTGGCGGTGGCGCTGGTTGCCAACCATGGTGCTTTCACCCTTTCATCCCATCGAACCATAGTATTGTATATAGCATATATATTATACCAAAACACATAAAAAAGTTTCAGCTTTTTTCCCACAGTAAACCGAAAAGGTAAGATTCTTTGTGATGGATATGGACGACCACGTAGCCTGCTCGCCGAGATACTTTCTCCCGAAGTGGTTGAGGTAGCGGACGACGGCGTCGTTGTCCTTGGTTGCGCGAGTGATCCCGTGCACGCCGCCATGGGTGTACATTCCGACGGTGAGGTAGAGCTCGCCTTCTTCACCCCCTTCTCTCCGTTGAATCGGCCTCAACGAAGCCGAGTTGCTGGGCGTGAACGCCGCTCCAAGGAGTCTGTGGCAGGCCTCGAGCGAGTGATCGTCCCATGAAAAAGACTCATCACCGAAACGTAGTGGACAAGGATTTCGAACTCCATCCCGATGATCGTTGTGCATGTTGTCGTGGGCCTTCGCAAAGGAGAGGCCGGGGGCATCGCCGTCATTCCTCATTGGCTCGTGGGTGGTGCTGAAGTTCACGGCTTGATTGTAGTAGCCCCGCACCTCAGATATACGGTCTTCGTCACATACTTCACCGCAGCACCCAACATCCCACTTTCGCTGCCGATGGCAGCCGATGCCACACGTGGGGCCGGGTGGCCCCACATCGAATTTCACTGCCTTGAGCTTCTTGCTTTGTCCTTGAGCACCGCGAGCCTGGTTTCCAGGGCCTGAATCTCCGCTAACGCCTCGGGGCTCGGCTCCGCCTCCATGATCTTCTCGACCTTCTCCTCCGTCTCCCAGTTGAGGCGCTTCGGCGTTGCCTTTGTGTTCCCCTTCCCACGATGGACCGGATGGCCCTTGTCCGGCGTCTTGTCGTTCACGATGCTCACCTCGTCCCACGATCCCCTCGATGGCGTTGAGGTCTTGTGGGTGCTCGCCTTGGGCTCCGTCTCGCTGTCCTCGTCCAGGATCTCGGCCGTCGCCGACTTGTTGAGCTGCTGGGCTTGCCACCATCGGGCGAACATCGCCAGCTCGGGTGAGCTGTTCTGGGAACGAGCCACCTCCCGCCGCCCAGCTGCCGTAGGAGTCTGGTATCTCCCGATAGAGACTGCCCTTCCACCGTCCGATCGTCATGATCATGTCGCCCTCGGTGCTCAACGTGCTCCTGATGAGACGAAGTAGGTTCCCTTTGGTGATCTTGTCCGGGACCATCACCCCCATCTCGCGGGCCTTCTCCTTCAAGTCCGGTAGGTTCATCGAGCTGAGGCCTTTCATCTTCTGTCCTGAAGTCTTCTCGTGGAAGGTGTCGATGTGGTCGCGGATCGTAGCCCTCAGTTCCACCACCGTCCACGTGTGATGAACGGTGGCTCCCACTCTGAGCGCCTCCTGGAGCAACTGCGCCTTGGTCATGCGGCTCACCGGCACCTTGGCGGAGCATGCCTCGGAGTCCATTCCCGTGAAGGGGTGCGCGAAGGGAAGGCCCAGGGGCTAGTGCTTTGTAGAACACTGTTCTTCCGACCCAAAGCGACGGAAAAGACACCTGATCGATTTGTCCTGGCAACCATCGGTCTACAGTCGACTCTATCCAGCCACCAGTCTTGCAACAGACGCACTCTGTGATGCGAACATCTCCAATGGAAGAGACCAGCATATCCCTCTGGACTGTTGAACCCGTACGCCAGGTAGAAGGATTAAACACCGCCCTCCGAGGAACAATGTGCACTCTCACCCACATGTAAGGGGTCTCTAACCAAAAATCACGATCAAACTTCGACTTCTCCCACCATGTGACAAACACGTCGCGCTGCAAACGGTCCTGACTCAACATGTCTCGGGTGCTCGGGTCGAGTTTCTTGTCGTAGAAGATTCCGGAGTACTTCGGGGCTTGGGGTCCATGGTGTGCTACTGCGTAGACGGTCGTGTATTGCTCAGCCTGCTGAAGTCGAAGGTCTTCAACCTGTAGGTTTGGCGTTCCGCCAGAGTGGACATCGACAGGAGCGATCGGTATTGCCGGGTGTCCAGACGAGGTGTTCGTGAGCTCGTAGTTCATCAAGTTAATCGCCTTGAAGTCGGCCTTCCCGTTCTGGACATCATAAACCATCCCAAGCTTGCCCAACACAGTTTTGCTAAGGAGCAACGGGATGTCGCCGGCGATGATGGAGGTGCGCACCTGGATGTTGAAACCCCCAAGTCTGAAGGCCACGATCACATAGAAAGAGCTATAATGGACCTTTCCCGTCCCGAACCGGTGGGCCTCGCACTCTTTCTGTAGCACCGGCTTCCGCCCGAACTCCTCCAGCAGGTTCGTGTAGGACTGGAGCCACTGGGTTCCCGCCACCGTTCGGGCACACGCCGTGTCCGCCACCCCGAGCAACATGTTCGGAACGTGCTTTAAGGCAAAGACGTCCGCCGGGAGCACCGTCGTCATGGCCACGCTCGCCCCGGTCTCGCCCTTCGCAGCGCTCTCGCCCTTGTTCAAAGGGCACGCATCATCCTTGTGCCAGTGGCCTTTGCGGCCACATCCACTGCAAAAGCTCTTTGCCTTCATGGCCTTGATCCTCGACTCGTGCTCCGAGTTGCGCTTCTCCCCGGGTCGCCGTTCTGGTCCTCCCGCTGGCTGGCCATCAGGGCTTCCACCTTTGTCGCCGGTCGTTCCCCTTCCGCGCTGCTGGGCGCGGTACCGGTCTTTGGCGGACTGGTAAGTCACGTAGGCCTCCGCCACATCCTCTGGGATGCCCTCCTCGCCGTTCAGCAAGTCCTCCTCGTCGCTCTCGAGGTCGTGGTCCGTCATGTGGGTGTAGTTGGTGCGCCTTGGCTTAGCATTAGCTTCCCAGGGCTTTCTCTGACCACGATCATGTAGAACTGCAGCATGCTGTAAGTGGTGTAGACTATACCGGTTTCCAACACTGGCCAGGAGGTTAAGTTCTTGGGGCTCATCCAACTGAAGGCGGTCCAAATAAAGCCATGCCGAGCACTCTTCAGGAAGCGAGCACCCGACCTCCCTGAGGCGGCCGTGAAGTCTGTCGTACTCCGTGTTGTACTCCCTGAACGTCTGACATCCAGGCTTTCCCACTAAGGTGTTGGTAGAGCACCAAGCCCATCTGGTTGATTGGAAGCCTCGTAATTCTTTTCCACACCTCAATCTGCCTCAAGTAGGATCGCGCAGAGTTGCCGAGGTCCTCAGATTCCTCCGCCGTGAACGTTGGGACGTTCACCTTCTCGGTGGGACGGGAGCCGCGGCCTTGATCATCGTCCCAACCTCGCCATCCACTTTGTGACCCACCATTGTCATGGGGCCAGCTGTCGGATCGGCCGCCGTAGTCGGACACCCCACCGTGTCCGTCGTTCCACCTGCACGACAGGTTGATCTGCTCAGGAGCCCACGGGCCACGATCTCGGCTGTCGTTCCAGCGGCATAGGTCTCCCTGATCGGGTAATCGAAGATGACGACCATCACTCCAGCGGCAAAGGTCTCCCTGATCATGTAACCGAAGACCAAGGTCTCGACCATCCGCCCACGGAGCGCCTCCAAGCACTCCCGAATCTGGGCCACGCGGTCCGCGGTCTCGACCATCCGCCCAGGGATCGCCTCGCTGGCCTCCCTGATCGCGTCCGCGAGGTCCTCCATCACGTCCGTCGGCCCAGTAGCCGTCACCTCGTTGATCAGCGTCCCAATCTCGCCTCCACTCTCCTCGATCGTGGCTTCCCCGGTGATGGCTCCACGTAGTCGCACTCCAGGTGGATCTGCCACCGTCGTTCCAGCGGCGCCGCTGCCAGGGATCGGTCGTTGTCTCCGGCGTGGGACTGGCGACCTCCACCATCATCTCCTGCTCGCGCCTGACCGCCATTCCCCGGCGGCGGGGCACGATCCCCATCTTTCCACTCGAGTGGACCCGCTCGCTTGATGCCCTTTTCCGGCACCGCTCGCATCCTTGTCAAAAAACTCACGGCCAGGATCATCACTAGCACTGCCAGGCTTGGCACCACCAACAGACTCAACTCTGTCGCCGCCCCCGAAGCTTGGAGAAGGCGGCATCGCCACAGGTGGCTCAGGAGAGCCCGCATCATCTGGCCCAAACCCCGGAGGAGGGCCCGTCACATTGCTTGACATAGCGCAGAGCACTACTGGAGCACACAAGCTCCGCTACCAGTAACAAACTCTAAGGGGTCTACACAAGCACTGCCATCCCGGGCCTCGTCGCTCCGAGACTTTCGCTTGACGATCCAGAATGCCTTCGGTGATGTTCACCTGCCGGAGAAGGGTTGTGAACCTAGGGTGGAGCTTTCTCTGAAACAACAGCGGAGTACAGGATTGAACGATCACTGGAAGCGAAAGACTTGTGACTGCTCCACATTTAGTCTTACAGTAACATGGAGGTTTCCGAAAATTAGGGGCACCTTTGAAGGAATCCATAAGGGTTCCTTAAAGGGATCTATAAGGGTTCTATAAAGGGCTTAGGGTTTGGAGTTTCCGAACATTAGGGGCACCTTATTTTGGGGTACTTATAATAAGGATCCCACCATTCAGGGTACTATATTAGGGTCCCCTATTTTCGGAAGCTCCCAGATTGAAGCAACGTTGTGCTACACTAGGGTTTATAGTAAAAGCCAGAAAGTTGGAATATGACTATCCTAAACCCTTTATGGTAAGTATAGGGTATCCTACCCTGAAACCATATTCCAACTTTCTGGAGTTCCCTTTAGAGAGACACGAAAGGCAGGGTCGATTGTCTACTCGGCCCCTGTATTGAACTCTTCGGAGAATCCGTGAGCTTCTTGCCTCTGCTATCGCCACGCCGAATAACCGCATGATTGACGGATGGGCAGTGGGCTGAAGATACAAGGCGGTGTACGATGCTAGACCCAAAGGGTCCTATGTACTGTTATGGGGAATACTTCCCCAAATCATAATAGTATTTCCTAATATAGAAACCCCCTACATTCTACTATACCGGTACTGTGGACCCTTTGGGCAAGGCGGTGATCTAGCATCCACGGGTCAGTGGCGACGAATCTGCAGATGGCCCCAAACCCTGTGGCGTCCTTGAACGCAAAAGACGCTCACCTGAGTGCTGAGAGGTTAGTTGAGCCCAGCAGTAGAGTCGGTAACGTTTAACCTTTTCTGGGTAGTGTAGCCCCCATATACTCCCTATATAACCAAACAGGTTAACCTTTAGTTCCCCATGATACCCGACAAGTACATTGGGTCAAATGTTTGGACAGCCACACAGTAACCTCTCGACCGCTGTGCCCCTGTGCCAGCTCGCGTTTCAAATTATCCCTAACCCTACAACGTAAAACCGGAACTGTAGGCCCTAGTCATCCCCCCCTACCGCTAGTGCCAGGGGCATGACATGGAGTCCTTGTATTTCTAAACTTTGCATATGAATCTTGGTAGTTTAACTTAAAATGTTTCAGGGTACATGTTCTGAACCCGCAACCGTAAACCCCGAACTCCTAAACCCTAAACCCTTCAAGGGCCAAATGCTTTGGGCTGCGGGGTTTAAGGGCCATCACCTGCAGGCGCGCTACATCGTGCGTGGAATCATGTTCTTACCTTTGGTCAGTAGGGAATGGAGGAATGGGGTACAATTATATCTACTATTACTACCAGTCTTCCATTCTCTACTAACCAAAGGTAAGTTTTGGAGTGTGCCATGTTCTGGGTTGCGTGTTTAACGTATTTACATAGGGTTGAGGGTTTGGAGTTTAAGTTTTACATACCTGTACCTACCTCTCTGTCTTTCTGGTCACAGGTAGGGTTTGGGGTTTGGGGTTAAAGGTATTTCGATTATATCCCAAGTAGATACTTAAGCCTTAAAGGGGTCCCCTATATGGGCACTTTTTCGCCTAAGTATCTACTCTATATGGGCACATGGAGCCTTAGGGTATGTGGTGGATATGTTATCTACCCAGGGCCCAGCTTCTTCTCAACTTTGTCACCTTGCACCTGGCACACTCCAAGCGAAAGAGAGCGAGTCAAGCACTTGTATCTGTATATATGTGCAAACATGTTATGCATAAACTTTAGGGGTTTAGGGTATATATATATATGAATGACCACAAAGTTGCTTGCCTTTTCTTGTGTTTGGGTGGTTTCTGCGCCCCCACTTCTACCATGATAGGTGCTAAAATCTTTGCCGTAGTCCCAGAGCTCGTGTTATATGGGTGCATGATCAGGTACGGTTTCGTGAGGCACTCGCTCGCTCAGTGCAGGTAGTGCCGTCGATCTTTGTGTGCTTTGAATAGGGAACTGATTGCACTGTCCTCCCCGCCACCAGAGATGGCCTGCAAAAAGGCCAGGACGCTTTGCTGGCAGCCTGCATTCAGAGATCTAGAGACTCCCGCCACTCTCCAAAGTAATTCCTTCTTTGACCACTGTTCCCCCACCGGCCAACTTTATGATGGGTTAGGGAAGGGCCTGAGGAAAGCCAAGAACACTGAACCCAACAACGGCGCAAAAGCCCTAAACCCTAAAGCCTAAACGCAACTAAGGGCCAGCGCTTCGGATTTCTGGAAGGGGAGTGCACTTCAACCTTAACAAAAAAAGCAACTAAACGAACGATACGCATGCTTTGATGCTAAGAGCTCCGGCATCAAGGGCACCTCAACCTCCTACCCCGAAATTCCACAGAGTCTCCAAAACCACTTAAGTGAGAATTCTGATTCAAGGTCTGTTCCCTAAGGATTTTTCCCAATCTAGGGTACATTTCTTGTGTAAGAGTTCTGCCTCATTCTGGGGATTATGGTTTATGGTATATCCCTTAGTCTGGGGTTTTTGGAGTTTATAACTTCCCGTCAGCTGAGGCCACACTGTTAGAAGTCCGCTTACCTAGCCCCAGCTTTACCGTTTACCAATTTTCGTGTCTCCTTATGGGAAAAGGATACGTATCCTATTATTAAGGGACTACTGGGGAATCTACCCCACATTTTGGGTCATTGTCCCTAAAATTAGGAATAGCCATGCCTCAGCAATCCACTGCAAAAGTACTTCGGCCTCTTCGAGTATCTCGCAGCTCGAACCGCTCTTAGGTGCTGGATGGCTACCTGCCCATGGTCGAGCCACATCTTGAGGTTCTCATCGAAAGGCCTGATCTTGAGTGCAGGTTTGGTGGTTGAGAATTTAGGGTCTGGGGGTTTAGGAGTTGGGTTCATGGTTTGAGGATGGGGGTTTTAGGATTTGAGCCCAGCCCTGCGAAGCTTTATGATGGGGGTGCTATGTATAGTCTCCATTGTAGTTTCATTTTGGGGTACCTTATGGACCCTAAATATGTGATTCGTGAAACCAAAGCTTAAAACAGGACCTACAATGGAGCCCAGCTGTACTGTTTGATTTGCTAGCTGCAGCCTGCTTCTACTCGACAGCGGACAACTGGCCTGCTTGCCTGAGCTAGTTCACTCGTTCAACCCATGAAAATTACAAATTCAGCTGCAGTGCCTAGACTTGTTGAGAGATAAATAACCCTACTGAAGAGCTTTAAGGAATGTACAGAAGGTCGTTTTTTCTTGCTGATTTGTCTTTCGTACTGTAGTATGCCATCACGAAAATGCAAAGCCAACGTGCTGCCACCAGGTTCTAGGCATAGGGGTTACTGTCCCGCAGTCACATGCGGAAAACCGCAGTCACAGTCAAGCTTTTTCCATTGCACAAGTAACTGTGCTTCCGACAACCCCAAACCCTAAACCCTAAAACGCTAAACCGTGAAGCCCTCCTTCTGAGCGACGACGCTGAAGCCCTAAAAGCCTGAAGTCCTAAACCTTTGAAGCGTCAAAATTCGAAATCCGAAAACTCGAACCCTAACTTTTGCAATTTGCAACCCGAAGTCTGGCATTCCTAAGCTCTGAAGCCCTCAATCCGATATTCCTAAATCCTAGCACTTGGACCGCCCTGGAACCTTTAAGCTTCACACCCTAAAATCCCAAACCGGTACATACCTAGAGGCTCCAAATGTAGTTCCTGCTCGGGGTTCATATATAGATTTCTATAAGGGTATCCCAAAAAGTAATATGTGGGTAGCCCCAAATTCGTTTGAAGGTTTGATGACATCGAGCCGCACCTGGAGTTCTGCTTGAAGCACGCAGACACTCTGTGTGACTGTTGAAGCCCAGAGACTCCAATATCCCTTAAGGAATATAGCTTAAAATCTAATAGGATCCCGAATATAATTTAAAGCTATACTCCTTCATTCAGGGATCTTGGAGTCTCTGTGATTGTTGAGAGTTTTTGAGGCTGTTGGATTTCTACGACTCTGGGGTTTGAGGCCTCAGGGTTTCGGGTATCGGTAGAGCTCATAGGGTGTAAATTGTAAAGGTGTAGTAGGGGGCCTCAATAAGTGGAATAAGGTTTGGTGTGTTGTGATATAGCGTAGCTATGAGAAGGAGTCCTCAGGAATAGTGAAACATTGGTGAATATTCAGGCTGTATACTCGGGTGTTGCAGAAGCCTTACAGCCTAAGTGTCACGACTAAGTTTGACATGCCTGTACCCAGGTGCATGATCGTGAAAACTGTTAGGTGGAGGCTTGAACAGTTTGGTCCTTTTTCGGTACAGCATAGAAACCGCAAGCACCTTGGCCCAGTTTGTCCAATAAGCTTGTTCCCATATGGGAGTTTCCGACAATAGGGGACCCTAATAAAGTGCCCTATAAATAGTAGGATCCTTACTATAAGAACCCCCAAAAAGGTACCCCTAATTTTCGGAAACTCCCATGTACAGTCTTCGAAGGTTTGTCCACAACTCATGGCTTTGGATCTGGAGCGGAGGGAACGATATTGAAGTCCCCGTCCCAACTATTCCTCTGAGCTTTTGCCGACCATCTACGGCACAAGTATATAGACCCTAAACCCCAAACACTACACCGGCAGGACGGGAAACAGGTTTTCAAACAAAGCAAAACTCCAAACCTTGTACTGTATAGGTAAATCGACACTTAGAGACTTGAAGCCGCTTCGAAGCAAGACGTATCGCAAAACATGTGGTGGCAAGCTGGCAAGGGGGCTTGGGGGTTTTGGATTCTGATTTGTGTTCGAAGAATTTAAGGGAGCTAATGAGTAGTGCTTTGGGATCTT